TTTCTCGGGCCGGCCCGGTGGCACACTGGAGAGTGCGCCGCTTCGGAGTGCGGCAGCGCTCCCGCTGAGGGTTCGGATCCCATGTGGAGACCAGTTCCTGCTCACTGGCTGAGCATGGTGCGGGCACACCACCAAGGGTTGCGATCCGTTGCCGGTCCCCGGTACGGGCGCGACACCGAGGGTTGCAATCCCGTTACTGGTCAGTAAAAAAGACAAAAAAAAAAAAACCCACTTTCTCAACAATTGGTAGAACAACTTGACAGAAAATCAGCAAGGATATACAAGAACTTAACACCATCAACCAACAGAATTTTATCGCTATTTGAACACCCCACTCAACAACAGCAGAATATACATTCTTTTCAAGTACCTACAGAATATATATTAAGATAGATCACCATATCCTGGACCATAAACAAACCTCAACAAATTTAAAAGACCATAACGAGCTATCACTTACACACCTATCAGAACAGCTAAAATAAAAAATAGAGATAATATCAAAAGCTGATGAGGATTCAGAAAAACTAGAACTCATACACTGCTAATGGGAATGTAAAATGGTAAAACAACTACTCTGGAAAACAGTTTGCAGTTTGTTACAAAACTAAAATCCTATCATATGATCCAGTAATTACACTCCTGGGTATTTATCCCAGACAAATGAAAACTCGTGATCCCACAAAAACCTACATACAATTGCTCACAGCAGCTTTATTTGTAATAACCCAAAACTGGAACAATCAAGATGTCCCTCAATAGGTGAATAGTTACACAAACTTTGGTATAGCCATACCACAGAATACTAATCAGCAATAAAAGAAATGAACTACTGATACACATAACAACTTGAATGGATATCAAGGAAATTAAACTGAGTGCAAACAAGACAATCTCAAAATGTCATGTACTGTAGGACTATATTTATATGTCATTCTATTTAGAGATGTAAAAGATTAGTTTGCTCTGGGTCAGGAGTGGTGGGGAAGAAGGGGATGTTGTGACTATAAAGGGGTAGCACAAGGGAGATCTCTGCACTGATGGAACGGCTCTGTATTTTGATTGTGGTTACAGGGATAAAATGACATAGAACTATATACACATGTTGTGCCAATGTTAATTTTCTGGTTTTGATTTTGTATTACAGTTACATGAGATGTAAACGCTAGGAAAAACTCAATGAAGAATACATGGGACCTCTCTACACTATCACTGCAAGTTAAAAACAGCCCAACAGTTTTCTGGTTGTTTTTTTTTTTTCTCTTCTTCTTAGAAAGGTATTACGGAACACATGACTTCATCCTCTGGACACTATTAGTGGATTGGGTGGGAAGCAGTAAGAAGAATCAAGCCTCACACAGTCTTGGTGTCCACTGCTCTTTTGATGTGTTATGATCCTATTTGTAAAGCTATAAAACACCTGGATGCCCCTTTCAGATTTCAAACCTTCCTCAAATTTACTAAATGCCTCCTGAATTTCAGAAAGTAGTTATCTACCAGCTAATGCAAAAATGTAGCCTAATTCTGTGTGAATCACTGCTGAGACCAGCTCTGAAGGAGGTCAGGGAGGGAAGGTATGGTGTTCAGGGTACTCTCTCTACTAATACACATCCCCCTGCCCGCAGCACCCTTACCCTTACCTGCCTCGTCTGAGACTCCTGCACACTGCGTGCTCCCTCCTGGCTGTCACTCTGATTGGCAGGTGAGGCCCCTGGATTGAATGCAGGTGGCCTGGTATGGATATACATAGCACTGTAGATCAGGACCCTGGACTGCAATTTGAGCCATGTTGTGGGCCCTCCCTGCCTATAGAAAAGGACACCGAACAGAGTCACACTTGGGTTACTTATCACCCTGACTGCAAACATTCTAAGTATGGAAGGGAAGGGAGCCTGCTCATAGGTTCCAAGCCAAAGCTAAAACTACCTTTGCACACAGGTGTTATAAAGAGGTAAGGAGGGGCTCAGAGCTCTGTCTACAGTGACCACTTCTCCAGGGACTGCCACCTACAGGGCTCAGGCTGGTACCAACAGCTCTGCACAGTACAGTCACTGCCGATAATCCTCCCACTTCAAAGCAGGATTACATATATAGTCACATGGAATGGAAACAGAAACTGGAGCATGACCTTCATTGTCCTGATGCCCCAAGCTTCCTGGGACAGCCAAGAAATTACCTTAGCTTGTTGTCCCTACTTCGCCTCCGGGCACTGGAGATAGGACTTTCAGGTGCTGGAGTTTCTTCCATCTGACTTGACAAATTCTTCATCTCCAGCTAAACCACTAGTTCCTTAGGTGGCAGATGCACAGCCCCAAGCCCAAATTGTCTTCACCACAGGGCTTACTGGCACATCCTTTAAGCCATTTCCTTTGCCGTTCCATTCCTCTTTTTCAGCCTTTCTGGACCACTGGAATCTCTGGATATAGGAACTGCCCAAACCATGGTGAAAAATAGAAAGGGTTCAGCTTTCACTTCCTGGGGACCACTGCTTCCCACGTCTAGAGTAGCCAAAGGGGCTAAAAGATAACAGTCCAGTTCCCTTTGCCTTCATTGAGAAACCAACGAAATCGGGAGTTGCCAGGTATCAGCAGGCTACTTAGTATCCAACGTTCTCTCCACCGCTGCTCAACTAAGACAACTGTGATGTCCAAAACAAGCCCTTCGGGCCCTGAAAACACTAGCCCACAGGCCAGGATGATGCTGATCCTAAGCAAAGGGCTCTCAGTCCTAACTCCCATAGCCCAGACCATGTGGACATCTCCTTCCCAACTGGGCACAGGTGGCAGCACAGACTTCCAAAAGGAAACTCCTTTATTAAACAGGAGCAGGTCAAACCATGCTTAATGCAGGGGAAGAACTGCCTCTGATCCACGCATAGCCAGATCTGCTGAGGAGGCTGGGGATTCCAGAAATCAGACTTGCAGATCCTGGAGGATGGTGCTCCCCTTGCTGGCGCCGTATCACCTCGCTTACCGGTTTCACAAGACCCAGAGGACCAAGCCCGAAGACAGTTGGCAGAGAGACAAAAATGTCTTACAGAGGTCTTCATACACATGGACAGCTCAGCAAGACCACACGTGCCCAGGGCCCACCGTGAGGCAGCCATCACCAACCTGGTAAGGAGGACATATTGCACAGCATCTTCAGGGTGCTGGAGGCAGGCGCTATGGCAGGAGAGGCAGTGAACAAGGATCAAAGCTTTGCCAGGCTACCACATCCAGACCCTCTGACCCAGTCAGCCCAGTCCTGAGAAATTATCCCAAAGAAGTAACTCTCTATAGAGAAGTTGGATACACAAGGAAATGTGTTCTAGTTGTCAACTGGTTAACAAAACATGGACTCTGTAGTAAGAGACTCACCTTACCACTTTCTAGGGCAAGTCACCTATGCACTGAGTCTCCTTTTCCTCACCTGTAAGATGTAGAGGACAGCACCTACTTCCCAGGGCTGTTGTGAGGATTAATTGAGATAATCTACATAAAGCACCTGAGTATAATATGCGCTCAACTATAAAGGTCAGCTTTTACTATTATGCATGACGACAGGAAGGGAAAGCAGAGAAAAAGATAGGTGAGTTAAAGGTGACAGAACTGAAGGGAAGATTCCCATGCCTGTTTTGACAATACCATTTTTTATTTTGTAGGTGTGTAGAGAATGCCTTCAATTGTTAAGCCCTGAAGTTCAGGAAGAAGGAAGCAAGGGAGAGAGGGTGGCCTTTTTTCACCAAGGCTGTCCCTACTTCTCTAGATCCTACCCTCGGGAAACTCCTAAAAGGTCTGAGAATACAGTAAAGGGGAGGAAGATGGAGGGCACAGGAGGGGAGAAATGAGGAAGTATTTGATAATCAAAACCTCAAAGGATCTACCTCTTATAGGCACACCCTGCCCAAAAGTAGGACTATGTACGGATGATCACTATGGCCCCATTATGAATATGCCTGAGAGTGAGCCTAGCTGCCCAGGGTCTGCTACAAGACAGCTAGAAGGACTGCCTGCCAGCCTGACAAGGTCATGGTGGGACCCCTGAAAAGAGAGGAAAGAGATCTTGTAACCACAGACAAAAAGTCCATTCTTAGGACTCTGATGCAGAGCACAACACTGTCCCTGTCCCTCCCTTTCTTCCCCACAGCTTCTCAGCTGTAAGGATACACAATAGTTCATTCTGATAAAGGAAAAACGTAATAAATATTAATCACCGCCAGAAACAAAACAGATAATTGAGTGTTTGCACAAACCTTAGAAAGGTCTAGCGGTGTTTACACCTTTTTTCTTTTAAAATTCATTCCATCCATGAATACTGCAGTATGTAATCCCAAAATAAAAAACAGTTTTTTAAAAACTTAAATACCATTATCACATAAGAAGGTTAATAATCCCTTAATATCAACAACTATCCAGTGTTCAAATTTCCAACTGCCTCATAAATGTCAAACTTGGGTGGTTTGTTTCTCAGCATTTAAAAATTCATGTTCCCAAAGCCAATGGAGATTCTGAGGCCTTATTAATCCTTATATCACCGACAATCACTGATGTAAGCCAACTTCCTCACTAGACTAGATAAGAAAACCAAAGTCCAAACAGGTTAGGTGATTTGCCTAGGATCATACAGCTAGCTAAAAACAGACAGCCTGACCCATAGTTCAGGGCTCTTTCCTCAATACCATACTCTCTGGCAGTCTGAACACTAAGGTAACGATTAGCTTTCAAGTCAGCAAGCCATAATCTAATAACACCTCCCTGATCATTAGAAAAGAATCACTAGACCCCTCCTGGTAATTACACACCCATTTTACTAAGATGAAAACTAATCTCTCATGTTAACACCATCAGGCAGAAGGCCAGAACTTGATCTTTATCTGTGCTTTACTTTAGCCATGGAAAAGCAGGATTCTCAAGGACCTCTATGCTCTTCTCAACAATAACCAGCTACCCCAGGCCACAGCAGGCTAAGGAGGACCACCTAACACAGGAGGAAGGTAACACGTGGCAGGAGTCTGCTTTCTAGTTGTCCATCAACGTGGCATCAGCAAAGATGAAGACGGCCTAAAAATAGGCCCAAATGGCTTTGTAGGTCACTTCCATCAAACCATCAAGGAATTGGTCATTTCTGTACTCTGTAATTCTTTTAGAGTATGAGAAAGAAAACAAAACACTTCCCGAATCTCATTCTGCAAGCACTGAATTATCCCTTTTCCACAACTGGACAAGAAAAGTGCACACAAAAACGGGGTAGAGGAGAAGAAAACTACAGGCCAAAATCCTAATTAAAAGAAAAGCAAATCAAAAGGAAAGACATGAAACACTTGGCTTCTTTCTTTTTTCATTTTGTTCTCTTTTGATAAGACAATGGACAAAATTCCAAACCCATTATTTATCAAGAAAAGGGGCAGGGGGGATGATTTTAGCAAACTAGAAACAGAATCGACACTTCCTGGAGGACCTGCATTATCAAACAATAATATAAAGCTAGTGTACGAAAGGACAGATCAAGGCCACAGAATAGGCACATGTGTATACAGTAACCTAGACTATGAAAGCAGTGAATATCAAATGAGTGGAGGAAGGATGAATGGACTCATCCTTACCTCATTTAGCATATAAAAATAAATTCCAAGTGGACTAAGGATCTGAAAGAAACAAACAAAAACATTATAAGAAAAAGCAGGGCTGGCTTGGTTAGAGAGTGGTGCTGACAACACTAAAGTCAAGGGTTGGATGGATCCCCTTACTAGCCAGCTGCCAAAACAAAAATGAAAACACAAAAACAAGAGTTTTCATATGGGATGATAGAAAAGTTCCGGAGCTGGATGGTGGTGATGGGTGCAAAACAATGTAAATGTGCTCAACTCATTGAACTATATGCTTAAATATGATTAAAATATTAAATTGAACAGTACATATATTTTACTATAATTAAAATTTTTAAAAGAAAAAAAAAAAAGATTATTTTTATATTCTTGCAATAGGATCAGTTTTTTTTAAAGCCCCTACTTAAAGCTTTCTTGAAACACAAAACCTTAGAGCCATAAAGAGAAATATTTGAAGATTTTACTATATAAAATTTGTAATGTCTGTATGATAAAAGATCTAGAAATAAAATTTAAAAGACAAGCACCCAATGTTTCAACAAAATGAAAATGAAAAAACAAAAAGAAAAAAAGCCACTGACTTGAATAAAAAGTATATGCAACTTGTATTACAACTAAAGGATTTACATCTGAATATACTCATATAAAGCCACCATAAATCAGGTAAATAAAAAATATGATAAGCAATTCATAAAAGAAGACATACAACCTATAAACAATCAGGAAAACGCACACTGAAACACAATTTCATTTTTTACCATCAGATTAATAAAATTAAAAATACTGATTTCCACAATTGACAAAGGTATAGCAAAACAGGTATTCTGATCACTGTGACTAGAATTGTAAATAGCAAAACATTTTGAAGAGCGATTAATCAGCAGCTAGTTAAATACCAGATGTACATATATCCTCCACTTACTGGTCTCTAGCCTAGAGAAATGCTCCCAGAGATACACGAGAATCATGAACAAAGGTGTTCACCACAGCACCATTTACAACATCAAAAACAAAAACAAAAAACAAAAACCAACTCTATACCCAAAAAGGAGGTGGTGAAATATGCTTTCATACATCCACACAGTGATATACTAGCCAGCCTCCAAAAAGAAATAGATAGGTCTCTATGTAACCATCAGGGAAACATGTCACAACATGATTTATAAACAAAGGCTAGTTACAAAACAGTCCATACTCTGCGATCCCATTTTTTTTTTTTTTTTTTTTTTTTTTGTGATGACCGGTAAGGGGATCTCAACCCTTGGCTTGGTGTTGTTAGCACCATGCTCAGCCAGTGAGCAAACCGGACATCCCTATATGGGATCCGAACCCGCGGCCTTGGTGTTATCAGCACCGCACTCTACCGAGTGAGCCACGGGCCGGCCCTCTGTGATCCCATTTTTGTCCAAAGTAAATAAAATAATGTACCTTGTATAGAGAGAGAAATTTGGAAGAATCCATACCAAGCAGTAAATGTCATCTCTGGGATTAGCATCATGGGAATTTTTCACTTTCTAAACTATATTATTTCTGTAATGTATGAATTATTTAAAATAAGCACAATTGCTTGTACAAGTGAAGAAATAAGGAACAAAATAAAGAAAAAAGGGGGATAGCTATGATCCTAACGAATGTCAGATACTGATCTCTGTGCAGTACTATCCCCTAGAGAAGAAGAGACTGAAGAGCTTCTAGAATGGCATAGGGACTGTCATCTGCCAGTAGTAACTAGCCCCCCCAGTTCCCAGGCTGGCTGGTGTGGTGCTAAGGATGGGAACAGGGCCAGGCCTTTAGTCGTGGCAGCTTCCATAGCCCCCCGCCCACACATACAAAGGCCTTGGCTGAACAGTGGATACTGAAGGAAAGCACACTCAATACTGGACTCAAACTATTTTTTTGTTTAACCTCTAATCTTCGGGTGGCTCCTCTGATCACCATTTTAAGATTAGAAACATTTTACTTGAAAAGGTCACAACTGAATTCAGATCAGCTAATTGGAATTGATGGTGACTTCCTGGGTAAGAGCTATGAAAACCTAGCTGTACCCTAAAAAGATAGCAATGATTAAAGGCACAGTGCTGGAAAGCCATCAGTCAATGAAAGAATATTAGCCAGCTATCCTCTATTCACAACCTCTGAATGATAAAACCAAGAATGGGAACACAAAAGGAAAGGAGAGGAAAGGATAACAAAGACATTCAATACCAGGCACTACTACATACCCAAACATATTTACATAGTTAATCCTCACAACATCCAAGGGGTGTTACAGAAGAGAAGACTCAAAGAGGTCCATGACTTGCTCAAAGTTACAAAGCTACAAATCCTAGACTCCAGATTTGAATCTGACCTGCCTGCAAGTCCAGTACATTGGCAGCTTCTCCAATCGGCTAGTTGGCTGGTTCCAAACTTCCCAATATTGGAGCCCATGTCCTCAGTCTTTCCAGGTGGACTTACCTGTGAGCTGGAGGGAAGCACCTGGGGGGTGGGCTCCTCGCACAGGGCTGCTCCTGAGCCCATGGGGCTCAGCGTGGTGATTCTGTTTGGTTGACCACGGAGTGTCAGAGTAATGGTGGTGGGAACCTTCAAGCCTGAGAGAGAGAGAAAGAAGCAAAGTTTTTGGTCACAGCCTCAACTCTCTTATGCTTTTCTTTCCTGGAGAGTTTCTTTCCCACATAAAACAGCCCCCTCGGCCTCCTCCCAGCTGGGTCATCTGTGCCCTGTCGACTGATCTGAAAGGCAACAGGAAACAGCCTGTGTTCTCTCAACCTCTCTGGGGGATGGGTCCACATAGCTGAATCCAAGGGTCAATGTCAGGACCCTGTGGGTTTGGATTCAACATCATACCTTGCCCACATGAATGGGAAGGCCCTAGGGGAAGATCCCAGATTTGGGAGTCCCCACATTTCTCATGAGACTCACCTGATGCTTGGTTAGAGATCTGAGCCAGGCCTGGGAGGCTGCTTGCCAACTTAGCGAGGCCCCCATTGGTCAGCAGCTGGTGGATGGCTGTGGGCTTCCCACCAGGAGTGGCACCCAAGGAGGAGAGAGTGGTGGCCACAGGAATGGTACGAACAATGGTGCTGGTGCCCGTGGTGATGGCACCCAGGCTCTGCATGGGGGTGGGCAACTTCACACTGGTAGCCTGTGGGACACACAAGCCCAGGTGATCAGAAGCTGTTGCCCAACAGCAACATTTAAGTTTGGAGGACCCATACCACATTATTAAAGGCTAACATGTACTGAGTGCCTACTACATGCAGGGTACTCTTCCAGGCATTTTGCATAAATTACCTTATTCAATTTTCACAACAACTCTATGAGAGAGGTACTATTATTACCTCATTTTACAGATAAGAAAACAAAGACAGAGAGGTCAAGAAACTTGCCCAAGATCACACAGTAAGTGATGAACTTTAATCTTTGGCATCTCTTGGCTATGTAGTTAGAAGGCTGTTTGTCCTTGACCCACTGACTCCAGACCCAGTCTCCCTGCCAAACCCAGCTAAGCTGAGGAGGCCTCCTCCCCACATCTGTCGGGACCAGTAGAAGGCAGATGTGCACCTGTGGGGCTGCTCCTGGGGAGGGATTTGCTGGGAGGCCAGAAGTCTTGCTGCTGATATCCTGTAAGCTGAAGCTGAGGCCTTGGAGGAGACTGCTAGCTGACGTGGCCCCTAGGAGAGGACATAAAAGGCAACAGCATGGACTCAGTCACTTGCACATATTCCAAGAGCAGCCACGCCCATCCACCCTCACCACCAACTAAAACACCAATGTTCTTGCCCTTGGACACTCCCTTACTCTCAGAAAGACACCAGGAAAGTCTCCCCAGTACACACGCACTGGATGCCACATGAGGAAAGGCACTACGCCATGCACTGCCTTGGATTTGTTCTGTACCTCCCAACCTGTTACAAACCACTGGTCCTACATTTTAGACAGTTTTGAGAAATCTAAATTCCCTCCTTTCTTTCCAGGGAAGCGGAACAACTTTTTAAGCCAAAAGAATCCCAAATACTTGACTTACACCTCATTTTACACAGTCCAGAGGCCTCAAAGCAAAGAGGAAGGTCCTCCTGAAGGAGAGAGGTGCCAGCTATGCCTAAACCCTACTTGGCTCAGGCAACTAGCCATTCAGTGTAGGGTTGAGGGTTGGAGAAAGTGAGAGACAACTACAGGCAGAAAAATGTCCAATTTTGCTAATGCCCAGTAAAGCACTGTTTCCAGTTTTCTTCAGTCTGATGTGCTTAACACCAAAATTAAACACAATACACATATCTCCCACTAGAGAATTCCACTTCTTATAGGACAGGATATGGCACCTGCAGACTGGGTCATCACTGCAGATATTAAGGCCAAGGAATCCCCCATCCAAGCTAGCTTCATGGCAAGTCTCCATTACTACCCTAAGACCCAGAGGTACATCCTCTAGATCCAGCTCCAGGGATGCTTTCCTAGGAACATCCTCCAGTAACAAACCAAAAAGATTTTGTTGGGAGGAGGAATGCTGGGCTACAAGTTACCTGGGAGAGAGTTGCCAGGAGACGTGGCCACCAAGCGGCTCTGGAGTGTGTGCAAGGCACTGGGTGCCACGCTGCTGGAGACCACTGAAGGGGCTGGGCTAGCTAAGACTCCACCTTCAGAGGCACTTGACCTAGAGACAAAGAAAGGAGGTCAGAGGGCAGCAGCAGATCCTAGAAACACAGGGAGGGTCCAGAGTGAGGCCCAACGGGGGGCTGGCTGGTTAGCTGAGTTGGTTAGAGCATAGTGTCATACGACCAAGGTCAAGGGTTCGGATCCCTGAACCAGCCAGCCATCAAAAAAAAACAAACAATCAGGGCCGAGCCCGTGGCGCACTGGAGAGTGCGCCGCTTGGGAGTGCAGCGGCGCTCCCGCCAAGGGTTCGGATCCCATGTGGAGACCGGTTCCCACTCACTGGCTGAGCGTGGTGCGGGCGCAACACCGAGGGTTGCGATCCCGTTGCCGGTCCCCGGTACGGGCGTGACACTGAGGGTTGCGATCCCATTACTGGTCAGTAAAAAAAAGACAAAAAGGAAAAAAAAAAAAACAATCAGAGTGAGGTCCAACAAGGCTTTCAGCTTTCGTATAACTTCGTATAATGTATGCTATACGAAGTTATTACGGGAGACCGGTTCCCACTCACTGGCTGAGCGTGGTGCGGGCGCAACACCGAGGGTTGCGATCCCGTTGCCGGTCCCCGGTACGGGCGTGACACTGAGGGTTGCGATCCCATTACTGGTCAGTAAAAAAAAGACAAAAAGGAAAAAAAAAAAAACAATCAGAGTGAGGTCCAACAAGGCTTTCAGCAATAGATACAAGGCTGGAAACTTTGGTTTCTTTGTACCACCTTCTGAATCTGGCCTCTAGTCCTTCTAAAAGTCAGGCCTAAACACCTCAGGCCTTCGAGCAAGAGCCAGGGGATACTTTGCAATCTAAGTAAAAATAAACTCCAACTGAGTTGACACAAAGGAAAACACAAAGATTCCAACCAGAAAGAAGTCACATTCCCATAACTGACAGAATCCATAATTCACCATCTTCCCAAAGCACTAAATGAACCAGAAAAGGGATAAAGGAGAAAAAGGAAATAGAGACAGACCAAAAAATAGACTCACTTGGTTGTGGTGAGAAGTCCTGTGAGCTCCTTGGTCCCTGCTGAAGCTTGCCCCAGTGTCATGGTGATGGGCTTCCCACCTGCGGCTGCAAAACAGAAAACCCTAAGACCACTGGTCAGTCCCATTTGGCCCCTACCTTTCCAGCTTCCATAGCCCAGGCTAAATGCAAGATATTATGAACAAAGACTGGAAGATGAAAAAAGGACTACATTACAAGTAAGGAGAATTGGGGTTATTTTTCCCTTTTACTTTCTAAACTTTCTGGAATATTTTATCTTTAACTGAAACCAAAAAAAGAACAGAACGTATGATGCTTGAATGACCCCACAGCCTGGGCCAGCCTGTGGCTCACTCGGGAGAGTGTAGTGCTGATAACACCAAGGCCACGGGTTCGGATCCCATATAGGGATGGCCGGTTGCTCACTGGGTGAGCGTGGTGCTGACAATACCAAGTCAAGGGTTAAGACCCCCTTACCGGTCATCTTTAAAAAAAAAAAAAAAAAAAAAAGACCCCACAGCTTCCTCTTGTATTCTGCCTCCCTGGTCCTTGTTCAGATGAGGTCACTGCCCACTTTCCCTGCATGTGCGATCTTATGCCTTTTTTGCTCCAGGCACCTCTAACGTTGAAGCAGAAGCTGAGCCACCTGGCAAGTAGCCAACAAGGGGGCAATGCTATGTGCCCTGAGAGAGTTCAGTCAGTTTTTATTTAAATAGGCCAAGAGAAACTCACCTTCTGGAGCTCCTCCTTGGGAAGGAGTACAAGGCCCTCCAGCTGTGTCACCTTGGGAGATAAGGGACACTTTGATCTTTGGTCGCTTGGAGGTCTTACTGCCAGGAAGAGGACTCGAGGGATGGTGCCGCTTCAGCTGGACCCTAAGATCCTCTTTCTCTGCTTCCTCTGTTGGTTCTGATGAAATGGGAACTAAGAGATGGAGGTGAGGTGAGATCATCCACAATCCAAAAAAGCCAACATACAGTGCCACTAAACATCTGCACAGGCACAGTCATATGTGGGAACACACAAGAGAACCACCCCGCGTATGGGGCAACACACTTCAAAGGAGACTGTCCAAGCTTCAGTCCCACTTCACTCAGGCCCCACCAGACCCCACCTTGCCTTTCTCAGAAGATGGTTCCAGCCCATCCCTCATCCTGCCCTGGAGTTGGAAGGGATAGGGCTCTGAGTTGGTGGGAATGAAAGACAGGAGAAGTCACCCTGACCCTGCCTAGAAAAGGCCTACAACAACTCCAAGAGAAATAGAGGACTCACCACAGTGGATCTAAACAGTCCTTCCCAGACTCAAAGAATGTGCTCAAGCCCTCCCTCACATCATCACACAGCTGGAAGACAGTAAACATTCTACAAAGAACCCATGGAGGAGCAGGCCACCTAGTCCTCTCTAAAAGGAAGTTTCCACAAGGCTCCCAAGAGTCCCACCCTGTCCTAAGAACCCAAGGTTGAGGGTCTGTTGCCAAACGGAGGCAATAAGGACTATCACCAGGACTAAAGGCTGGCTTTGCATAGCTACTAGGTGAGGGAGCACCTCAGCCTAGGCAATCTCACAGCTCCTGTTGAAAGGAAACAAGGCAATGGCGGCCCATGTTCACAACCTAGATCCTAGTACAGAGAATGGCCATCTGTTCACACATGAGCTTCCTTCTCCATTGAACTGAACAGACTCTTGATGCATACAGCTAAATCTTTTGGACTCTTAAGTTATCCTTCAGGCTTCCTCATAGATTCCCTCCTCTTTAAACCCAGAAGTCCATCTCAGTCCTCCTTCTTAGCATAGGCAAGCAGAGGTGGGAGTAGGGAGGAGGGCAGCAGTCACACAAGGGTGAGGGCAGCAGTCCTGGCATGGTACCAGCTAGAAGGATTGCATAGGAAACAAATGCACTGACTAAACTCAGAAATGGAAGGAGGGCAGAAGGGAAAAGAATTACAGATTTTATACTAATAAGTGGCCGGTGTGCTTGCAGCCACCAGGATGGAAACAAGAAAATAAAGGCAGAGAGAAAAACACACAAGGCTCACAGGCAATGGGCCACAGGCACATAAAGAAGAAGCAGTCAGAAAAAACACACTAAGAGACAAAAAAAAAAAAAAAAAAAAAAAAAAAAAAAAAAAAACCAAAAAGGGCAAAAGGAAAA